AGACTCCTGTGAACCCTGGTTGGCCAGCAGTGTGGCAAGACCTGGGGACTTTTGGGCCCAGAGTCAGTGACATAGCCACAGAGGACTAGAGTGGAGCGTGAAGAGTTCAGCTGATAAGAAGAGAGGGCATATGCATAAGAACACCCACACTTGCACATAATACCCACTTGACCTGGCTTCAATGATTGGATGATCAGAGCTCAACTAGAAGAAGACAGAAGAGGAAAAAAAGAGTAATCTGATACAATTTGATGAACTTGACCTACCCCTATGGATGCAGTAGCTCAAAAGAGGGAACAAATCTTTACAGCGAGGATCATTCCCACCCCCTCCACATATGGAAAGGACAGGGATGGGCAACTTGGTCATTGGCTACCCAAAATGGGGGCTACAAAGGCAAGAAGTGACTGGCTTACAAGCTTTCTAGAGGGAACCTTGATCCAGAGGGCCTGGAGGAAGGTAGACTCTCCAGTGAGTCGTATCCAGTATGTCTGGGCGGGCCTGAGTAAAGGAGATACGGATAGGTTTTTTTGTGATACAATAGTGAATCATTGTTATCAGGACTGATTGTGAGGGTTGGAAATGTAAAGGTAGACATTGTGTAGCCAAAGGAGGGTAGTGATTAACTTTTCAGTGTAGGAGCGGAGGTCCCTGGGACCATCAAAGGAGAAGAGCGGAGAGTGGGACCCTACCCAGAGAAACTGATGCCAGAGATGGAGGCAGAGATGATGACGTGGAGAGATGAAGCAGCTGGGGACTTTAGACCCAGAGAAGGAGAGCTGACAACTGGGAGCAGGCTTGCAGGATATACCCTTTGGTTGGTTGATGATGCATGGAGGGGATTGTAACCATGGCAATGAAACGATATATGATAGACTGAATGTAAAGCTAATGTTCTCTCATGTAAACTATCACATAATTCACAAACATTAAAAAAAAAAAAGGTCAAAAGATGGAAAAAATATACCAAGTTAGTTGCAATAAAAAGCGAATAGGAGTGGAGTGCTAATCTCTGATAAAATAAACTTTAAGGCAAAAATTAGCATAATAGATAAAGATGGACATTATCTCATGATTAAAGAGACAATTGAACAAGATGATATAGCCGTAATAAATATCTCTGCTCCCAATGAAAGAGCTCCAAAATATATAAAGCAAACTCTAATAGATTTCAAGAAAAGAAATAGATGAAACTATGATAATTGTGGGTGATTTTAATACACCGCTTTCAAAAATGGGTAGAATAACCAGAAAGAAACTTGACAAAGACACAGAAGAACTATACAGCACAATCAGCCAACTGGACCTCATAGATGTATACAGAGCATCCAACCCAACAACAGCACAATAACACATCTGTTCCAGTGCACATGAAACATTCTCCAAAATAGACTATGTGTTAGGCCACAAAACAAATCTCTGTAAATTTACAAATATCAAAATACTACAAAGCATTTTCTCAGACCACAATGCTGTCAAATTAGAAATCAACAATAGGAAGACTAAGGAAATTTATTGCATTAAATACACACGTCCAAAAAGAAGAAAGAACCAAACTTAACACATTAACACAGCATCTACAACAATTAGAAAGAGACCAACAGAGGGAACCTACATCCACCAAAAGAAAAGAATAAAGATTAGAGGAGAAATAAAACTATAGAGAGAATCAACAGGACAAGAAGCTGGTTCTTTGAAAGGATTAACAAAATTGAGAGACCACTGGCAAATCTTAACAAAAGAAAAGAGGGAGAAGACACAAATAACACGCATTAGAAACCTCATGGGCGATGTCACAATGGAACCAAAGGAAATCAAAAGGATAATAACAGAACACTATGAAAAGTTGTACTCCCAACAAATTTGAAAACTTAGATGGATACATTTTTAGAAAAGCGTGACCTACCTAAACTTACATGCAGTGAAGTAGAAAACCTGAACAGACAGACCCATAACAAAAGAATAAATTGATCATGTCATCAAAAAACTCCCAGCCAAAAGAAGTCCAGGCCCAGATGGCTACCAAACATTTAGGGAAGACCTGTCATCAATTCTGCTCAAATTATTCCAGAAATATAGAGGATGATAGATAACTTCCTAATACATTTTATGAAGCAAGCATAACCCTCATACCAAAACCAGGGAAGGACATCACTAAGAAAGAAAACAACATTCTTATCCATAGAGAAAAGATTGAAGTTCTTAAGGACTTCATTCTTCTTGGATCTACTATCAACACTCATGGACTCAGCAGTCAGGAGATCAAATGACGTATTGCATTAGGCAAATCTGCTGCCCAAGACTTTTATAAAGTGTTGAAGAGCAAATATGTCAGCTTGAGGACTAAGGTGCACCTGACCCATGGTATTTTCAGTAACCTCATATGCATGCGAAAGCTGGGCAGTGAATAAGGAAGACCGTAGAAGAATTGATGGTTTGGAGTTACGGTGTTGGAGGAGAATATTGAAAGTGCCATATGCTGTCAAAAGAACCAACAGATCTCTGTTGGAAGAAGTGCAGCCCAGGATGGCCAAACTTTCTCTATCATATTTGGGACACTAAGGGAGGGACCATTCACTGGAGAAGGATACCATGTTTGGTAGGGTGGAAGGTTAGAGAAAAAGAGGAAGAACCCAAGCGAGATAGGCTGGCAAAGTGGCAGCATCATTGGGCTCAAGTGTGGCAATGATAGTTTGGCCCAGGATCAGGCAGTGTTTTGTTCTGCTGTGCATAAAGTCGCTGTGAGTCAATACCGACTTGATGCCACCTAACAACAACAACCAGCGAGATGGATTAGCAATATGGCAGCATCAGCGGGCTCAAGCGTGGCAACAGTTGTGAGGTTGGCCCTGTACCAGGCAGTGTTTCATTCTGTTGTACATAGGGTTGCTATGAGTCAGTAGCGACTCAGTGGTGGCACCTAACAATAACAACAACAAGGCACCCTATGTTGCCAGTCACCTTTATGTGGGAAATTTCTTCTGCCTAAAACTTGCTGGCTTTCTCCTTCTTTAATGTTTCTTATTATCTGTCACTCCTGATGTAGCACTGTAGGATCAGTACTGGACTTTGAACTACAAGGTTGGCATTTGAAACCCACCAGTTGCTCCTCGGAAACTCTATGCAGGGTCACTATGCGCTGGAACTGACTCCATAGCACTTAATAGCAATAACAACAAGATTGTCATGTCTCTGCTTCAGTGCTGCCTTTCTCTCAAACAGAGTTTAGATTCCCCTGTTAGGTATTTCATAGCACTCTGCACCTATACCTGTTAAAGCACAGGTCAAAATGCCTATCAGCTGTCTCTCTTAGGATTGTTTTTAGGTACAGTTTAAGCTTTGTTGTTGTTGTTATTATGTGCCGGGGAATTAGTTCCGACTCATAGCGACCTGGTACAGGGTTTTTGAGGCTGTAAATCTTTACTGGAGCAGAAAGCCTCATCTTTCTCCTGCTACCAGAGCTCCATAGTTTAAGCTTTAGATGATGTATTTAAACTTTTGGGTTAAGTCACTGTTATGAACGTTTTGACTTTAATAGTGGCTAGCTAGTTGCTTATGTAAGGAGCTCTGGTAGCGTAGTGGTTATGAATCGGGCTGCGAACCTTAAGGTCAGCTGTTCCGCAGGAGAAAGATGAGGATTTCTGCTCTGGTAAAGATTTACAGCCTTGGAAACACTGTACAGGGTCGCTGTGAGTCGGAACCGACTCCACGGCATATAACCTACAAACCAACAGTTGCTTACATTAGGAAAGTACTTCTGTTGTGGCGCTGTAGGATCAGCATTGGACTGTGAACCACAAGGTTGACAGTTCAAATCTACTCTTTGGGAACTGTATATAGGGTTGCTATGTGTTGGAACTAACTCAGTGGCACTTAACAACAACATGTTAGAAAAATTATTTGCAGCACAAGTGGAAGATCAACCTAATATAAGTAAAGTTTTTTTATGAAAAATTACAAAAGTATGAATTAAAATATCATTGGAATAAAATTTTCTATATTAGATTCACAAGATTAATTTATAACTTGGATAGAATGTTTAAGGGTAATTTGAGGTATGACCTCTTTATCTGTTATAGTTTGGCAACAGCTATTAAAATCATAATGTTCACAATTGTTACTCATAAATTCATTTCTAGACATGTATCTTACTGAAATATTTTTATACTGAAGTATTGAGAAATTTCAGCATTGTTTTCAAAGATAAAAATTTGGATATGACCTAAATGTCCAGTAAATGATGCGTACATCCATATGAGAAAATCATATACAATTTTAAAGAATTAGGTAGAATTATATCTATGTAGAAAAATGACTAGGATATACTAAATCTTTTTTTTTTTAATTTAATAATTTTTATTGCTTTATTCACTCTTAAGTGGAAATGTTGTTTTTGTTTTTAATTTTATTATTGAGAATATACACAACAAAATATATACCAGTTTCTTAGTTTCTATACTTGCCATTTATTGACATTGTCTTGGTGTGGTGCTATGGTCTAATGTGCTGGACTGTAAGATTGCTTTGAACCACAAGGTTGGTGGTTCAAGCTCACCAGCTATTCTCTGGAAACCCTACACAGGGTCACTATGAGTCAGAACTGACTTGACAGCACTTAAATACAACAACAAGACATACTAAATCTTAAAAAGCAGGTTTAAAAATATTGTGCATATAGTATGATCCTGTTTTTGTAAATACATAAAATGTATGTTGGTATGTGTGTATGCATATTTGAAAGAAAAAGAAAATATTGAGAAGAATATCTATCAAAAAAAAAAATCAATTATTTTTAGGTGGTAGGGATTAAGGGAAGTTTAAATTTTTATGTTAAATACTTTCAATGTTTTATGTTTTCAAACAGTAATATGCACTACTACAAATATTAGAAAACAAGCAGACTGAAAAAAAACAAAAAAACCATAGAATATAATGCTATTAGGATAACATCAATTGTAAATACGAACTATGTACTTAACTTTTTCTTATTTTTAAAATAGAATGCCCAGTGTTTACATGGAGACATTGCACAGTCTCAGAGAGAAATTACACTGAAAGGCTTCAGAGAAGGTAGTTTTAAAGTGTTGGTGGCAACCAATGTGGCTGCCCGTGGTTTGGACATTCCTGAGGTTGACCTGGTGATTCAAAGTTCTCCTCCACAGGTAAGAAGTGAGGCTTGGTTGGGGAAAATGAGAGTAGTTCTATAAATTGTCTTTATTTATAGGATATTCATTGGGATGTGAGAAATATGTAACTGGTTATTGCTCTTAGCCATTTTTGTTAATGTAATGTTGAATTCATCAAAATAAGGTACCTTTGCAAATGTATTTGAAGTTAAAGCACAGAAACACAAAATCATGTAAGGTAACTATAAAAATTGCTTTATAAAAATGGAATCATAATGGCACATTGGCTACCTACTCAGCTGTTAACTGATAGGATGGCAGTTTGAACTTGCCCAATGGCTCCATAAGAGAGAGGCCAGGCAATCTGTTTTCATAAAGACTGCAGTTGGTAAAATCCTGTGGCGTAGGTCTACTGTTTCATGAGGTAGGTGATACTTAGAAATGTTCTCGAGTGCACAAAACAATAACTATTATAAACGGCTCTGGAGTGAGGTGGATAAAAAGACATTAGATGAGAAACTCCCATACTCCCAAATTCTTTGTTGTTGCTGTTATTAAGTGCCTTAGAGTTGGTTCCAACTCTTAGCAAACTTGTACAGGGTTTCCAAGGAGCCACCAACCTTTCAAGTAGCAGTCGAGTACTTATTTTACAGTACCACACCAGGACACAGATTCTTGAGGATGTTGTAAAAAGTAGCAGAATTGGAGAACCAACAGGATGCGGATCGAGTAGAAGTGCAGTGAGGAACTCCATCAGCAACAACACAGAATACTGGACCAAGCAGGCTCGGAATGATGCCAGAACTCTGAACCACATATAAAGGAATATTTAGAAGGTTGGAAGGCATCCAGCTAGGGGAATTTGTAGCAGAAGCAAAAATCCATTGCTTGCTAATTCAAGATGTTCAGCTGCTCCCGGAGCCGCCATCTTGGGCAAGACCAAGCAGGGGAAGGATGAGAGCAGCCACTGACTCCTGACAGAACCAGGTAGATAAAGGTGTGGACATTCTTTTTTTGTGTGTCTGTTCATTAGTCTCTCACTGTCTGTGCACCTCCATTCTGGTGACTAGAGGGGGTGCCAGAGTGAGTGGACACCCCACCCCCACCCCCAGAAGGTTCTACTATGCATGCGCACAGATGTCATCGAAATTGAAAGAGTTTCCACTTAAAATGAAACATTAGTGCAAAACAGCCACAGCTGGCCCTGAACTGTTTATCACTAGGAAAAAGGCTTGGACAGGGATTGTGGAGTAGGACAGGCAGATTAAAAGAAAATAGGCCGAAAATTAAATCCTGAGTTATGTCATAACGATCTAACAGTGGCATCTTGAGATTTCTGAGGAAGAAGAGTGAAAAGGAAAGCCCATTTCTTGATCACATCTACCTGGAGGCAATCAGAAAGCATAAAAAATACCAAAATACACACCCATTTAAATTTTAAGGCCATAGCTAACTCTTGAAATATGCCCAAAAAACAGAAACATTCAACCATATCAGCACATGTCCAGAAACGGGATAAAGTGACTGAGGCACATGAGCTGGAAGTGGACCTACACTCCATACTGAAAGATGGGCAGTCTTTGGAAATGCCTGAGAAGGAATTCAGAAAAATGATTACAAAATGCATCAAAACACTATACAATAAAGAGAACAAACAAGATGGCGGATCAGGTAGAATTGCAGTGAAGAACTCCGTCAGCAACAACACAGAATACCAGACCAAGCAGGCTCAGGGGATGGTCCCAGAACTCTGAGCCACATATAAAGGAATATTTATAAGGTTGGAAGGCTTACAGCTTGGGGAATTTGTGGCAGAAGCAAGAAATCCATTGCTTTTTAGTCCGGGAAGCTCAGCTGCTCCAGGAGCCACCATCTTGGGTGAGACCAAGCGAGGGGAAGGATCGGAGTGGCCATAGACGCCTGGCAGAACCGCAGAGATAACAGTGTGTACATTCTTTTCTTTTGGTATCTGTTCATCGATCCCTTGCTGTCTGAATACCTACATTCTGGTAACTCTAGGGGTGCCTGAGCTAGCGGACACCCCAGCCCCACCCTCGGAGGGTTCTACGCATGCACACAGATCTCCTTGAAATTTAAAGAGACAGTTTCCAACTAAAACCAAACGGCCACAGCCAACCCTGAATTGTTTCCAACTAGAAAAAAGGCCTGAAAGGGGATTGTGGAGTGGGACAAGCAGACAAAAAAAGAAATATGCCGAAAATTAAATCCTAAGTTACATCAAAACGACCAACAGTGGCATCTTGAAACTTCTCAAGATAAAGAGTGAAAAGGGAAGGCCATTTCCTGATCACATCTACCTGGAGGCAATCAGAAAGCATAAAAAAATACCAAAATACGCAGCCATCTAAGTTTAAGGCCATGGATAACCCCTGAATATGCCAAAAAAAGCAGATGACCATATTTGCACATGTCCAGAAACTAGATAAAGTGACTGAGGCAAATGAGCTGGAAGTAGACCTACACTCCATACTGGAAGATGGGCAGGCTTTGGA